TTTCTTCCACTTTCAACTGTCATTCCTCCATACCCCTGGTACCCCCACCCATGCCTGGCATTAAGTGTAAGATTCATACCGAGTAGACAACCAGGGAATTCTGAAAGGATTTTGTGGAGCTGGGTACTTTATTCCCATTCCACATAAATGGTGTCCTGTACCCAATTAAGGCTCCTTGGGAAACCCAGGCACACAGTCCAGCTTGGTTTTCTTCATCCAGGAACCTGGAATTCACCAGGCAAAAACCACACAGATGGGCTGACAAAACTACAAAGTGCCAGAACTGCAATACTGACTGTTGGGTGCTTTTTATCACATGCCTTAGGTGCTCTCCTGTTGTGCTGACAACCTCTCATTTTTCAGGGAAAAGCAAAGATTTTTATTCAATCACCCTTGTTCTTTTCAGTGCCTGATCTCTATAGCCTGGGCTGAGCTGGAGTGAATTGCTTATGTCTTTTCAATCCTGTCAAGATCAAATGCACATATGCTTAGAGAGCAACTAGATGATGCTCTAATAGATTTGTATTGCTGGTATTAAAAATCCAGCTTGACAGTTTTGACGTCTTCACTTTCAGGGTTTAAAATAATTTGCAGAAACCATGTGAGAAGAATACCTTCCTCTGATGTAATCCCAATTTTAGAAGAGTCAAGTGCAAATAGATCTTTCTCTCTGTAGACACATCATCCTTAGCAAGACAGAAAACAGCTCAGCTAAAAACATAACTATTCCTATTTTCCTCCACAACTATTCAGTCTTCTCAGGTCTCCTAACACTGAATTAAAAAGCTCACAGGGCTTGAGAGTCTGCTTGCTGTGGGAAAGGGTTTGTTAAAAAAGCCCTGAAAACTAATAGAGTGGAACAAATAACTGCTAAGAAACTTCAGTTAACAACTGCGACTGTATCTTAGGGCTCACAGTCTCCTTATACAGGCTAACATGTTCAATTATGTCTTAGTTACCCAGGCAGAAAGGTATATGTGCTGTCAGCTTTGACAGAATGAAGAACACTCACTCTGTTAAGACCAAAGAATATTTGTTAAGAAAGAATAACTGCTATAGTACTTCCTATAACATGCAAGTCAAATTCTGGGTTACAAACTTGGTCTTACTGCTTACACAGCACACTGCATGTCTTGTCTCCCTGCCATGTGGCCTCTCTCATCTTCCAGCCTGCATGGCCACGTGGGCTTCTGCATGAGCGAGAGCAGAGATGCGGTGGCTGCTTGAGCCCAGTTTCCACCTTGCCAGTTCAGGGAGCCGGGTCCATCTGTGCTGCTCTCAGGTAGTACCAAGAGTCACCACAAAGGTCCTTCCTGGCCACCGTGAGGTGGGCATCACCCAGGCCCTTGGCATCTTTCACGGTGGTTCTCCCACTACGACAAAATGCTCCACTGGGATAACATTTATGTCCCGGCAGGGCACAGAAACCAACACCTACTGCAAAACATGACTCAGCCCCATCTGACCTGAACTCCGGATGCCAGGGATCTGCTTCCCAACAGTGAAGAGGTGGCCTCAAGTCCCCACAGCCATCACCTCTGTCCTCCTAGGGACAGCAACAGTTGCTCCATGGGCGTCCCTGAAACAGATGGCCCTCAGCGCAGCGCTCGGATATGCAGTGTGAAGGAGCTCACTGCTGGGTGCGCGCATCCCAGCTAAGACACATCTGGCTGTAATCTCTCCCTCGGCTGCACAGGGACATGCAGAGCCTATCATAGCTTTTCCCCAGAGGTTAAGAGATGAACCAGCTGGACAAAAACATAGTCAAACTTGTCCCTGAATTTTTCTGAAGTCAGCTTTTTAGTTTGTTCAGAGAAGTGTGTGAGAAAGTTAATGAAATACTATTTAACATATCTATTTTTTGCTTGCTCTCAAATCCAAGTAGCAGCTGTATGTATTGCTTCATGCCAGGAAGCAATAATGCACACCCTCCTGTGGCAGCACCTTAAAATTGCAGAGATTTTATGAAACAACCAGCCTTACAAAACACACCTTATTTGCTGTACTAGTGGAATGGCACACATTTAAGCACACAAGATATAGAAGGAACCACATCAGAATGGAAAGTGGGAAAGCATTACATTACACTGAAAGTCATTTACACCAAAAGACAAGGAAATGCAGTACATATGAGAAGAGATATTTCCTAAAATAAAAAAGTAACTGTGATCAAATCCCCATTTTTCTATAGAAATCTACCCTGAAGAGCTATATATTTTGTTATATCTGCCATTTTTTGAGACAGTCACTCTAAAATATGTTATGTTTACCTCTGAAGTTTCTAGCAGGTCCACACCATATCACACTGCCTGCTCTCTTCACTAAGCACTGCAAGTCCTTGTAAGGGCGGTGAGCATTAGGCAGAACACGGCCACATTCCACTTCTCCAGCCCACACGGAGAGCTTACAAATAGAGCAGCCTGAGTCCTCCCTCCTTCCCCATCACCTCTCCCTCCCTCTTGCCCTCTCAAAATAAAGTGGCTTCCCCCATGTCTTTTTCAAAGCTAAAGCATGATGCAAATAACACTCATTTCAGTTCCACATTTTATTCTGCATTGTCATTATGTCTGATTAAGAGTTCTTGAAGCTCCATGTGTTAGAATCAGGCCCTTTCATAATACTGAAGAAGTGAGTTTGAGAGGAAAAACGAGGTATTAAATCTGTGAATGTTCATAAATGAGAACTGACATTTTCAGGTACCCTGCATTTTCAGGAGAGGCTTAATGAATATCCAAAGTGATGACAAGTATTTGCTGAGTGTCTGACTGACAAAAATAGACAAAAATAAAATACCATGCTGGCTGGTACAGCAATTGGAAAGAAGAATCTAATTTCATATTAATCTGTGCTTCAGTATAGTTATCATTGAAGGGCTAGCTTTAAGGTCTTTAATTCACTTGTATAATTGCTATGTATAACTGCTATATTGTTGGATATGAAACAACTATTTACAACAGTTCTGTGGTTTTTAACACAAAAAGATGTATTTTCTCTTAATAATATCTAAAAATTCAGTACTATGTGCTTGTGCTGCTAGAAATAGAAGGCCACGAGCCAAGTCACCTTTCTGGAATATGTCACTAAGGGAGTAAAACTCACACCTTGCAGGGGCAGGGCAAAAGGAATAGGGGAAGCAGCTCTAACTTAGGAGCTGCAAATGCACATGATAAATTCAAGCCACTAGATGGGACTTTGCATGATCTCTGACTAGGCTCTAACTCCTCTTTCCCAATGGTACGGGATTCAGAGCTCTTTTTCCAGCTCCCTCAATTGTCAGAAAAGAAGTAGGCTCCAACTTCTGGAGCAGGCAGTGGGGTTTGGCAGCAGCAACGCAGCAGTTTCAAGTCTTTTGGCAGGCAGGTTGCTAATGCAGCCATGTTCTAGCTGTTTCATGTTTGGGGACATCTGTTCCAGCACAGCCATTGCTTTGTTTTCTTGTTCATATTTCCTATACAGTAGCATATACGGAGATAAGTTCATATTATTTTCTAATATTTTTCATGGAAGTGATTTGCAGACAGACTTCATAAAAAAAGGTTATTTCTCACAAGGATAGCATTTCAAACAAATGTGATATTAAAGCAAACATACTGTGCATTCAAAATTCATCAACATGATGCATATGATTCATGGTCTTTTTTGACTCGTTCAAAAATGAATCTGGAAGAAGAGATGCCATAACTACAACTAGGAAGGCATTAACTCTTGGTACAGTCATCCAAAGGTGCTGCTGAATCTTCACACATGGCAGAAAAGCTGATTTGAAATGGACAACTGTATTTCACTGTGTGCTGGTTTTGGCTGTGGGATAGTTAATTTTCTTCACAGTAGCTAGTATGGGGCTATGTTTTGGATTTGTGCTGGAAACGGTGTTGATAACACAGGGATGTTTTCGTTACTGCTGAGCAGGGCTTACACAGAGTCAAGGCCTTTTCTGCTCCTCACCCCACCCCACCAGCGAGGAGGCTGGGGGGGCACAAGGTGTTGGGAGGGGACATGACTGGGACAGCTGACCCCAGCTGACCAAAGGGGTATTCCATACCATATGATGTCATGCTCAGCATATATAGCTGGGGGAAGAAGGAGGAAGGGGGGCAGTTCGGAGTAATGGCGTTTGTCTTCCCAAGTAACCATTATGCATGATGGAGCCCTGGAGATGGCTGAACACCTGCTTGCCGATGGGAAGTAGTGAATGAATTCCTTGTTTTGGTTTGCTTGCGCGCACAGCTTTTGCTTTCCCTATCAAACTATTTTTATCTCAACCCACAAGTTTTCTCACTTTCACCCTTCCAATTCTCTCCCCCATCCCACCGGAGGGAGCGAGCAAGCGGCTGTTGTTGCCACCTGGGGTTAAACCACGACACACCGTCAGCATGGAAAACAGCATTGGATCACTGGGCTGTACATAGTCCTCTGAAGAACTAGTATTACTTACACAATACCGATTACTTACACAATACCAACACTGCTAAGAAATGCAACAATTGGTCGAAACTCTAATGAAAAAATTACACCTATACCATTAACGGGGAAACTATTGTAGCTATTCATGAGATTTCAAAGTTAGGGAAAAAACCCAAAAGACAATGGGAAAGATGACTTTTACTTGTAAAGCTGCTGTAGACAAACAAACAATTACTGGAAAAAAATAATAATCCCATTTTCAATGAAAAAAGAGAGACTACAAAATCTTTTTTGGAAGTTTCCTGCTTAGCTACCTGTGTCTGATATAAAGATTTTAGACTACAGTATTGATTCCAGCCCTGCAGCCTTCCCTGTAGGAAGGTCCAGCTCCTGCCTCCACTGAAATCAATGGCAGTTCCCTCTGATTTCAGTAGAGCAGGAACAAGCTAACCTAGAGCTCAAATTTGCAGTACTGAGGAAACTTTTCCTCACAACCACTTCACGAAGAGAGGTTTCCCATATCTAGTACTATCACATAGTCGAGGCCTCCATGACACATCAGAGAGAGTGAAAACTGAAAGGTCAGAAATACTTACTTCCACTAGGGATCAGGTCCCTATCCGGAATGAAGAGCTTATATCCATAGTGCTTTTCTAGAACATCTGGCAGAATTTCAAGTGCAAACTGCTCCTCTTCATTATTATCACAATCTAACGCATCAGGATCCACTTTGGTGTATGAAAGATACGCATCATATTCCTTGTTGTCTGTAAGAAAACAAATTCATGTTCAGCCTGCTGTTTGCAAGAGCACTATAAAGAATACAGGAAAGTACTAGGAAATCGTATTATTCCTTGAAACAATTTAGCATTTCCCAACAAAATTGGGACTTTTCACAGGAACATATAATCTGGCTTCCACAGAGAAATTTTTCAGATCCAGACATGGGATATCCTTTCAGTTTTCTTCTGCATGTTGAGCTAGTTAGTAACTCTGCTTCATGTGGTCAGTGTACACATTTCACACCTGAAAAGATCATGGGCAAAATTTTGATACAAATACTAAAGCTGGAACTTTTTCTTTTAATCCTTTACATTTGCTAATGCAAATCTTTCAGCTCCTATGCCTCAAGAGTGCTATTATTATGCAAAAGTTTTGAGCTTGGAAAAGTTTTTGAGCCTGGAAAGTTTGGAAAGTTTTGAGTAAGGAAAATTTCCTTGCACACGTAATTGTGAGAAAATACATGACTTAACTCAAATGAATACAGATTATGCAGAAAACAATGACAAATACAAACAGTCTAAAGCATTTTTTCAGAAAATCTTGTAGTTTTTAAAACCAGTATCATAATTTTAGAGGTCACTTGATCCAGGACATTTTAAATACTTGGTATGAGAGAGAGAAATAACTCCAAGAGCAAATGGGGCGCAGGGGGGGATTTGCCCCTCCATTCTGCCTGCAGCTCAGGGGTGGAGGCAAAGCCTCATCAAAAAGTGGGTGGCAGGCAGTGGGTGACAGAGGGGACCCAGGCAACGCCACATGAGGACTGCTGGGCTGCAACACAGTGGTTTGGCCAGAAAGGGCAATACACCTCCTGCAAAGCACTGGGGCTTGTCTCCAGTTCTCTGCCTCTGAAACATGGAGCTAAGAGCTGGTCACTGTGCCAGGAACAGAAGTGGCACCACTATCGAGCTTGGGATCCATGCTGGGATCAAACTGTCTTAGTGACATTTCTCTTTGCTATTCCTCTGCAGTAATGGAAAATAGTATATTGAAAAAGTCAACCTTCAGCAATTCAGTCTCCAGGGAAGAACACAGCTGCCATTATTTACAGAAAATGAAAAATCAAACAGTTAATGTTGTGAGGACAAAACTGCATGAATAGAGGATTGCTGAGTACCAATTATCTGTACAGAATAGCGCACATGAAAGATAATTAAAGCAGTTGAAAATCATCAATATATTCTGATAAAAAGAAAAAATAGCTAATCATAATACAATACATTCCTTGATGACCTTGAAATGATGGTTACTTTCTTAAAATTCTTGACACAAAGCCAGATCCATGAGGGTCAGAGCTACAGAAAAGCATGTGAATAATTATATGTTTGTAAAAGGCAATTTGCTTAGTGTCACCATAGCTGTATGGGAGGACGTCCACCTGGCTTGCCGATATTTCTCTGAAATTAACAGCATACAAAAATAGTAGTTACTGATAGAAAGATGACAGAAGAACAAAGAGCAAAGAAATAAAGGCCAGCCAGCTTTGGAGGCCTGTCCAAAACCTGCTACCCTGTCCGTAATGAAGCCTGCCAAAACCTTTTAAGAGAAGCCAGCCACCAAGTGATCCGGGAGGCAAACGTCCCTGCAAACATTTGAGAGCTCTGCAAAGGCAGCAAAGCAAACCCCACAGCACTGACATGTCCAGTTATAAAGCAGCGTGAAAGCCGCGCATGCACTGTGTGCAAGTCGTCCCTGAGCTTCCTGCCCCTTCCAGCTGCGTGGGTACAACTGCCCTCTCCAGTCACCTCTATTCACAACACAAGTAAGCAAGACGTAGACAGAATCGGTTCGCCGGGGCTTCTGTGAGCCTGTACGCTTGTGTTACATCTCTACGGTCTCGACTCCCTCTTCACAAGCTTCACATACACAGGACATAGCAGAAGGACCTATCCATGCTTGCCCAGCGCTTGCTCTGTGTGCTTTGGATGCGGCACTGTTTGGAGCCATTTTCTAAATGGCTTCCCTTAATCCTCAGTATCATTTTTTCTAAAAACAATGCTATGCACAACACAGGAGGTGAATGCATCCAACATTGCTTACATAGAATATTTTTAGAAATAGGAATAAAGGAAATCTATTGAGTTCCAAATCTTCTATTTTAAAGAAATACATGTATAAATGGAAAATGACCCTGCAATTGCATCTATAGAGCTGACTGCTCACGGGAGCTCTGTATGTTCCCACTACAGCCTATAGAAGTAGAAGGAAACATCCCCAGATATGCTTTGACTTCAGTAACATTCTGCCTCCATCTTTCATTCTGCAGGATCAGAATGAGACACAAAGCTGCAATAGTTCTAAAATCATGCACTGGAAAAATAAAACGTTGTTTTCAGAATTAACATGCATGCAAAATCCCCTAGGTACACATGGGGCTTCCTCTAAACAACTAGAAAATAATATTGTTTCCTAAATTAAAAAGCGATTGAGCCAAGGAATTGACATGAATAAAAAGGCAGCAGCTTCACACTGAAAACACGAGATAAATGAATCAAAGCAATCTGGAAGAAGTTACCACTTTGGGTCACTTTTTGTTAGTGCGAAGCAGGGATGTTATGTTGGTATAGTCCCAAGGTGTTAGAGGTAAATTACTTCCAAACCCACATAATCTCACCCTTCACTTTCTCCTAGGTATCAGTATAAATATTGTGCAGTATTGTATAGTATGAAAAAAGCATCATTTTAGGTTTTCCCACTGACACATGAAGATCGAGAAAGAGGAAGTTTCCTGACCGCTATTCCTGCTATTTATCATTCCACATTCTAAAATCCCCTGGATGTCATTCCACCTGTTCTCCAAAACCCCTATGGATATCTACCCAGTGTTAAATAGAAACACTTATTATTTTGGTGACAGTAATGCTAACTGTACAAAGTAACAGGCCTGTGCAACTGCACATTGTTTTGGCACAATAGGGGAAATGTGTTCCCTGCTCTTTTTTCAAATACAGTATTGTTTCTGGATATACCACTCCGGACTTACTACGTGACTTGTAAGTGTTGCAGTGGACTATGAAAAGTACCTGTACTTGAATAGTGTGCTTTAGAACTTTAGCAGATACTAGTTATATGCATATCAATAACATATTAATTATGCTATAATAAAAGTGTTAAGAATATAATAATAGGATTTAAAGCACTTGGACTTAGTTTACCAG